GAGAGAGAGGGGAGGAGAGGGAGTAGAGAAGAGAGAGAGAGAGAGAGAGAGAGAGAGAGAGGAGAAGAGAGTAGAGAAGAAGAGAGGAGAGAAAGAAGACAGACACAGAGACAAGAGAGAGACAACAGAGAAGAGAAAGAAGACAGAAAAAGAGAGAGAGAGAAAAAGAGAGGAGAGAGAGAGAGAGAGAACAAGAGACGAGATAAGTGGCGCCAGAGAGGGAGACGAAGCGAGGGAGCAGAGTCTCACGAATCGCGACTACTCGCTGCGCTAGCGGGCAAGTCGCGCTCCTCAGCGTGTTCGCTCCGCTCCTCTCTGCCTCCTCTCGCTCTCTGCTCGCTCTCCTCTCGCTCTCTTCTCCTCTCTTCTGCTCTCTCTCTCGCTCCTTCTCCTCTCTCCCTCGCCCGTCTCCTCTCCTCGCCTCTCCTCTCTCTCTCTCTCGTCTCGCTCTCCTTTTTTCTCTCTCTTATTGTAATTTTTATTATTATTCTTCATTCCTTTATTACATGTATTGTATACATTGTTGCTTTGGCAATATTGATGCAATGTTTTCCATGCCAATAAAGCAGCTTGAATTAGAATTTTGAGAGAGAGAGAGATAGAGAGTGGGGGGGCTTATGTTATGCTCTGTTATTGTATGTGGGAGGTCCACTTTAAAATAATACTGGAGCCTGTCTAGCCTGTTCTGGAGCCCTGTCTATCGCCTGTCTGAGAGCCTGTCTACCCCCTGTTCTCTGAGCCATGTCTAGCCTGTCTGATCCTGTCTAAGCCTGTCTAGCCTGGTCTGAGCCTGTCTGAGTCTATGTCTAGCCTGTCTGAAGCCTGTCTAGCCTGTCTGAGCCTGTCTACCATGTCCTGAGCCTGTCTAGCCTGTCTGAGCCATGTTAAGCCTGTCTGAGCCTGTCCTAGCCTGGTCGGAGCCTGTCTGAGCCTGTCTTGAGGCCTAAACGGACCCTGTCTGAGCCTGTCTAGCCTGTCCGAGCCTGTCTAGCCTGTCTGATCCATGGTCTAGTACCTGTCTGAGCCATAACTGACCCTGTCTGAGCCATGTCTGAGCCTGTCTACCCTGTCTGAGCTGTACTGAGCCTGTCTGAGTCTGTCTAGCCTGTCTGAGCCTGTCTAGCCTGTCTGAGCCTGTCTAGCCTGTCTAGCCTGTCTGAGCCTGTCTGAGCCTGTCTACCCTGTCTGAGCCTGTCTGAGCCTGTCTGACCCTGTCTGAGCCTGTCTAGCCTGTCTGAGCCTGTCTAGCCTGTCTGAGCCTGTCTAGCCTGTCTGAGCCTGTCTACCCTGCCTAGCCTGTCTGAGCCTGTCTAGCCTGTCTGTCTGAGCCTGTCTGACTGTTACCTTAGCCTGTCTAGCCTGTCTGAGCCTGTCTAGCCTGTCTGAGCCTGTCTGAGCCTGTCGCTGTCTGTCTGAGCCTGTCTACCTTAGCCTGTCAGCCTGTCTGGCCTGTCTGAGCCTGTCTACCCTGTCTGAGCCTGTCTCTGTCTGAGCCTGTCTAGCCTGTCTGAGCGTCCTGTCTACCTGTCTGAGCCTGTCTAGCCTGTTCTGGAGCCTGTCTACCTGTCGAGCCTGTCTAGCCTGTCTGAGCCTGTCTGAGCCTGTCTACCCTGTCTGAGCCTGTCTAGCTGTCTGAGCCTGTCTGAGCCTGTCTGAGCCTGTCTGAGCCTGTCTAGCCTGTCTGAGCCTGTCTGAGCCTGTCTGAGCCTGTCTGAGCCTGTCTGAGCCTGTCTGAGCCTGTCTAGCTGTCTGAGCCTGTCTGAGCCTGTCTAGCCTGTCTGAGCCTGTCTAGCCTGTCTGAGCCTGTCTAGCCTGTCTGAGCCTGTCTGAGCCTGTCTAGCCTGTCTGAGCCTGTCTGGCCTGAGCCTGTCTGAGCCTGTCTAGCCTGTCTGAGCCTGTGACTGTACCTGAGCCTGTCTGAGCCTGTCTGAGCCTGTCTACCCTGTCTGAGCCTGTCTGAGCCTGTCTGAGCCTGTCTGACCCTGTCTGAGCCTGTCTGAGCCTGTCTAGCCTGTCTGAGCCTGTCTGAGCCTGTCTAGCCTGTCTGAGCCTGTCTGAGCCTGTCTACCCTGTCTGAGCCTGTCTACCCTGTCTGAGCCTGTCTGAGCCTGTCTGAGCCTGTCTGATCCTGTCTGAGCCTGTCTAACCCTGTCTGATCCTGTCTGATCCTGTCTAGTGTACAGGGCCCCCTCTGACTCTGACCAATACCTTTACTGTACTGTAGTAGTACGGTTCTATGGATACATAATACTACTTTTATTATACTTTATTATACTTGAAATACTTTTACATAATAATACTTTTTCATTCATTTCAGAGGCTATGACTCTTGTTCTTGGTTAAAATACAAAATGACTTAGTAACACTATAGCTATATAAGAGTTCCTAGCAGCTAGCATGGAGGAGTTTCTTTTAGCTTGTTAAGACTGTTTCGCAATAAATCTCATCTCTGTACTCTTTGGTGTACAAGAAGATATGACATTACAGTAACCATGTTGTTGACATACATCCAATTTTGTAATAATTTTCCTTACAAAATTACAATTCTTCAGCGATTGCTCCTTAGGTATTGTCTAACGACTCGATGCGTCTCAGGACACATTGAATATGTTGTGCTTTGCAGGAGCTTTGAGTATTACGGACAACATTCCCAGACTGGCAATATTAATAGCATTATTCCAAGGCTGTAAGAATGGAACAATCTGTAAGCAAGTCAAAGAGTAAATGATGTCATAATTGAAAATGGTAACATGATAAAAACAAATAATCATCATTTGACATCAAGGAAACGAGATATAAAAAAATATGTAAAAAGAACGGTTCAATATCCTCCAATAAAATTGGCAAATTCGTTACGTCATCATTAATTTCTATGTCATTATTCGAGGTTGACATATTGATATATTGAAATAAAGAAATATCATAGATATGTATATCAATATAAATAAAATATCTGATTATTCATGTGAGTAAGTCATCCACAGACAAGGAGCAAGTAACATTCAACAAGGACAAACAAATGCCATGGAAACTCCGTAAGACCAGGAGGAAAATAGCTATTTGAAATCAGTTTAGATTACAAAAATAGTTGTGTTTTTTCAACAACATTTAGTTAGTCTCATTTGTATATAATAATAACTCTGAATCTGAATGAACAGCCCTCTTAGAACCCAGTAGTGGTATTACGGTCTCACCCCACACCATCCCAGCCTGGTTATGGCAGATTGAACGCTGCACTCACTATTGTTCCACGTATAAGCCTTACGTTCAGTCTGGTTTAACCAGGCTATCACCACCCCAATCCATCTCGAAGCTGAAGACCCCATCCCCAATCCCTCCCAACAAGACACAGTACATACACAGAGCCCTGGAACAAGCATGGATACAGAAATAAATCCCATCACAGACCCATTGACTTGAATGGGAATCCCTGTTCTAGTAGTTCTATTTCAGGATAGATATCTTTGTAGTTGTATTTCAGGATAGATATCTGTGTAGTTGTATTTCAGCATAGATATCTGTGTAGTTGTATTTCAGGATAGATATCTCTGTAGTTCTATTTCAGGATAGATATCTGTAAAGTGAGGCCGATTTATATACAGTACAGCTGCTTGCTGCGTGTCTAGTGCCCCCTTCCTTCCTTCCTTCCTTCCTTCCTTCCTTCCTTCCTTCCTTCCTTCCTTCCTTCCTTCCTTCCTTCCTTCCTTCCTTCCTTCCTTCCTTCCTTCCTTCCTTCCTTCCTTCCTTCCTTCCTTCCTTCCCTCGCTCCCTCCCTCCATTATTTGAAATCTTAAAAAGCAAAAACCCCACAGCAATTTAAATATTCTGAGAAATAGATTTAGATAATCACCATAACCACTTTGTTTGAATATTACCAGCTGGCACCTGCACATGTCTAACATAAATACAGGGATTTGTGTTGTTTCTGTTGTGCCTTAAGTAAACCATAGCTCTGATAAAGAGTATGAATGATGAGCTCAGGTTATAGAGATAAAGGCTGATATTACTGTGTCTTAGCTACTGTAGTTTCGCTGCTGTAGTTTAACTGCTGTAGTTTAACTGCTGTAATTTAACTGCTGTAATTTAACTGCTGTAGTTTGGCTGCTGTAATTTAGCTGCTGTAGTTTAACTGCTGTAATTTAGCTGCTGTAATTTAACTGCTGTAGTTTAGCTGCTGTAATTTAACTGCTGTAGTTTAACTGCTGTAATTTAGCTGCTGTAATTTAACTGCTGTAGTTTAACTGCTGTAGTTTCGCTGCTGTAGTTGAACTGCTGTAGTTTAACTGTCTCAAAGCGTAGCACTAGCAGGCAGCAACATGGGCAGCCATCTTGGGCAGCCATCTTGGGCAGCCATCTTGGGCAGCCATCTTGGGCAGCCATCTTGGGCAGCCATCTTGGGCAGCCATCTTGGGCAGCCATCTCAGATCAGATAGTCAGAGTACAATACAGGGGCTAGTGCCTGTTGCTCTCACTCACCCATCGCAGCAGGTAAAATTGGTTGCAATGACGTGACGATGACATATTTTATGACATCATGGTCAGGTTGTACACTCAGAAGAAAAGGTGCTATCTAGAACCAAAGGATTCTTCGGCTGTCGCCATAGGAGAACCCTTTGAAGAACCCTTTTTGGTTGCAGGTAGAACCCAGGTAGAACCCTTTACACAGAGGGTTCTACATGGAACCAAAAAGGGTTCTCCTATGGGGACAGCCGAAGAACCCTTTTGGAACTCTTTTTTTCTAAGCAACCAGAAAAATAAGTCTTTATATAGTTGTGATCTGGTTATCTAACTTCTTGATGTTGTCATGAAACAGACATTACCTTTATTCTTGGTTGTACAGTAACAGAGACCAGTTGGTTGTAATCTGTTAATCTAGTGTCTTCTTAACCAGAAAACCAGTTTACAACCAGAAAATTCCAACGTGTGCCAGATTTGGCCTTTTAGTCTGATCTAGTCCATGCCAGTCTAGTCCGGTCCGGTCTGGTTTGGTCCAGTCAGGTCTAGGCACAATGTGAGAGCGTTAGTTTGATAAGTCCCTCCGTGTGCATCTTATAGAGTAGTTTGAACTCTGCTGGCAGCTGGTGGGACTCCTGCCACTTGGTGGTGAACTTGGTACCCTTCTTGTCGTAGTAGTGGTAGGGCAGCTCCTTGCCCGTGTTGGGGTCCCAGCCAAAGGGCCAGAAGCCGTACAGGTGGATCTCCTCACACATGGATGAGGCCAGAGTGTACATGAGGATCCCCGTGCTCAGCCGCTTCGGTGACAGCTGCTTGGTCTTCCAATATCTACAGCACAGACCAACAGAACAGACAGGGTTAGAATGGGTTCTGTTAGAATGGGTACTGTTAGAATGGGTACTGTTAGAATGGGTTCGGGTACGGTGTTCCAGTATCTAACAGACACCAACATATTGGATTTAGGAAGAAGAAGAAGAAGAAGAAGAAGAAGAAGAAGAAGAAGAAGAAGAAGAAGAAGAAGAAGAAGAAGAAGAAGAAGAAGAAGAAGAAGAAGAAGAAGAAGAAGAAGAAGAAGAAGAAGAAGGAAGAAGAAGAGAAGAAGAAGGAGGAGGAATGGTAATAGGATGGTTAGGAAAACAGAGCGGGGCGGAGCGATAACATCGGTGAAGCCATGACAACATGTGTACGTGTGTGTGTGTGTGCGTGTGATTGTGTGTTCATCTGTAATTGCTCCAGTATTAAATAGAAAACCAATTTAAACCATTGATGCTTTATCACATTCCCTACTGGAAGGAAAATACAATTGGTCCCTTAACAATGGACACAACAGACACTTAAGGTGTCTTAAGGCGGACTGAGCTTCTTAAATGGAGTAATTCTGTCTGAGCAGGTCACTTTCATGGGATTGAGGGAGATTACAGTACAACCAGTCTCTGTCCCAAATGGCACCTTATTTGCATTATGGCAGACTACTTTCAACATGGGCCCATAGAGCTCTGGTCAAAAGTAGTGCACTATATAGGGGATAGGGTGTCGTTTAGGACACATCCCCAGTCTCTTCTGAAATTAAGCTCAGATCCACTCACAGACAGATCTCTCTCTGTTCCAGATCCACTCACAGACAGATCTCTCTCTGTTCCAGATCCACTCACAGACAGATCTCTCTCTGTTCCAGATCCACTCACAGACAGATCTCTCTCTGTTCCAGATCCACTCACAGACAGATCTCTCTCTGTTCCAGATCCACTCACAGACAGATCTCTCTCTGTTCCAGATCCACTCACAGACAGATCTCTCTCTGTTCCAGATCCACTCACAGACAGATCTCTCTCTGTTCCAGATCCACTCACAGACAGATCTCTCTCTGTTCCAGATCCACTGACAGACAGATCTCTCTCTGTTCCAGTCCCATCCACAGACAGATCTCTCTCTGTTCCAGATCCACTCACAGACAGATCTCTCTCTGTTCCAGATCCACTCACTGACAGATCTCTCTCTGTTCCAGATCCACTCACAGACAGATCTCTCTGTTCCAGATCCACTCACAGACAGATCTCTCTCTGTTCCAGATCCACTCACAGACAGATCTCTCTCTGTTCCAGATCCACTCACAGACAGATCTCTCTCTGTTCCAGATCCACTCACAGACAGATCTCTCTCTGTTCCAGATCCACTCACAGACAGATCTCTCTGTTCCAGATCCACTCACAGACAGATCTCTCTCTGTTCCAGTCCCATCCACAGACAGATCTCTCTCTGTTCCAGATCCACTCACAGACAGATCTCTCTCTGTTCCAGATCCACTCACAGACAGATCTCTCTCTGTTCCAGATCCACTCACAGACAGATCTCTCTGTTCCAGATCCACTCACAGACAGATCACTCTCTGTTCCAGATCCATTCACAGACAGATCTCTCTGTTCCAGATCCACTCACAGGCAGATCTCTCTCTGTTCCAGATCCACTCACAGACAGATCTCTCTCTGTTCCAGATCCACTCACAGACAGATCTCTCTCTGTTCCAGTCCCATCCACAGACAGATCTCTCTCTCTGTTCCAGATCCACTCACAGACAGATCTCTCTCTGTTCCAGTCCCATCCACAGACAGATCTCTCTCTGTTCCAGATCCACTCACAGACAGATCTCTCCTTATAAGCTGGGAGCTTCCCGTTCTAAATTCCCCTCTCTCCATATCATACAGCTCAATCCAAGTCAATACCCTCCTGATCACTATAGAGGAGGAGACCTAGCTACACAACTAGCCACTTCATTATAATATATGCATATTGTTGGTCAATGATATAAGTCGTTTTCATGTCACTGGTGGTGAGGTTATAGTGAAATGCATGGAAAGAAAATGGCTTCAAATACCTCAGATTTCATAATCTTTTTCTGAGAATAACATACTATGCTGTTTTGGGTGTGTCCAATGCTATGTTGGGTGTGTCCAGTTGTGATTCTATGTTACTTGTGAGCAGTGACATTTTTTTTTCTTCCTCTTGAAGGACAATAACATTATCAACCAATCAATCAATAAATAAATCAACCAGTCAGGTGTGTCCAGTGTTACCTGTTGACGTACTGCATGATGTTGCCAGGCCACGCTAGCTGAACCTTCAGCTGTCCTCTGTGCTCCACAAAGAAGTCCACCAGGGTCCTGGTCACCGTGGCCGAGGTATGGAAGAAGAAGGCAGGGATCCAGAGTATGGCCCTGTCCAGCTTCTTGAGACTCAGGAAGAAGTTGTTCCTGTCCTGGATGGTCAGCAGATTGTTGTAGTACTTCTCCAGGATGCTGGGGTTAAAGGTCGTGAGGTTGGTCCTCCGCCCCACGTCCCGGCGGAAGATCTCGGTGGGAGCGAAGTTGCAGCGGAAGACGAAGTCAAACTTCTCGATCTCGGGGCCGCAGCGACTCCCTGTGAGGATGCCGCTGTTGCCCACCACGGCGCACACGTTGTAGTGCCTGTTGACGATGGGGGAGGCCTCGGGGAGCAGGGACTTGAAGTTCTCTCCGACGGAGAAGACGTACTTGTGGCTGGAGTAGTCGTAATGCATCAGCTGACCCACGCGCACGCTGCTCCGGGTCAGGGTGAAGTTGTGGGCGATGTCGATGTGCTGAGAGATCTCTTTTCTGGAAGAGATGGGGAGATCAGACAGGGGGGGGGGGGGAATGTTAGATGCGTCCCAAATAGCACCCTATTTCCTATTCAAGGCCCAGAAGGCTCTGGTCAAAAGTAGTGCACTATATAGGGAATAGGGTGCCAATTGGGATGCACACTTTTTGTATATATTGTAAATATACACCCCATAGATTAGCAGACCTGGGTTCAAATACTATTTTAAGTATTTCAATTACTTTCACATATCGAAGTATGTATTTGGGAAAAAAATAATATATATATATACAGGTAGTTGAATATTAGAATGTATTTGGAAATACATTCGGAAAGTACTGGCATGTTTTTTCAAATACAAATATTTAAATACTCCATGCATTTGAACCCAGGTCTGTTTGGTCGTATGGGTATTTGAACCCAAGTTGGTTTGGTCCTAGGGGGATTTGAAATGTATATGGAAAATAGTTTCAAATAGCCTAGTATTATTAGAAAATACTTTCAAATACCCAAAATACTATTAGTTGATTCGGCCACATTATTTGAAAATACTCAATACACAGAAAATAAGTATTTAAAATACAAATACTTGAAAATGCATGCATTTGAACCCAGGTCTGTAGCTTAGTGTCTGGTCTAAATAATATTGGCACCAAAATCAGAACCAAACCAGCTACTAACATTTTACTATTAAGGCTGTCACCAGAACCAGCTACTAACATTTACTATTAAGGCTGTCACCAGAGACTATGCCTGGCCTGGGTCATGTTCATTAGGCACACAACATTTGGAAACGGGAAGGGCACAACCTGAATGTGTCCAATAACAACAGTTCTCTGTTGTAAATGTTTTGCAACGTTAGTGCTTACTGAACAGCACCCAGATGTATCCTATAGACTACGTCACCTCTGTTCTGTGAATGCCGTTCTGTTATATCTCCATTTGGAGGCGTTCTCCTGCAGGCCCTCATTCAGGGCCTTGGTCAGAGGGGTGAAGGCCGGGTCCAGGTACTTCATGGCCAGCTGAGACCTGTTGTACAGACACATTGATACACACTAGAGAAGGCTTGGACCAAAACGTTAGTGTCTACCCGTAAGTAGTCTATTGTCCCCTGCTAATGCAACTCCAAGCCAGAAAAAAATAGTTTGTTTATTTAGTGTAAGAAGAACCAACCTCCTATTTTGACAGAGACAACCACAGAAACAGTGGGTTGTGTCCATTAGAGAGGGAAGGGAGGCCGGCCCAGTTGGTTCTGATGTTACTGGGTGGCGGAAAGCTGGTAGAAGCAGGGCCTGATCAGCGTCCAACACCCTCTCCTCCACCCTTCTCTCCTCTCCTCCACCCTCCTCTCCTCCACCTTCCTCTCCTCCACCCTCTTCTCCTGTCCTCCACCCTCCTCTCCTCTCCTCCACCCTCCTCTCCTGCCCTCCACCTTCCTCTCCTCTCCTCCACCCTCCTCTCCTGTCCCCCACCTTCCTCTCCTCTCCTCTCCTCTCCTCCACCCTCCTCTCCCCACCCTCCTTTCCTCTCCTCTCCTCTCCTCTCCTCTCCTCTCCTCTCCTCTCCTCTCCTCTCCTCTCCTCTCCTCTCCTCTCCTTCCTCCCCTCTCCTCTCCTCTCCTCCACCCTCCTCTCCTGTCCTCCACCCTCCTCTCCTCTCCTCTCCTCCCCCTCCTCATCCTCTCCTCCCCCCTCCTCTCCTCCACCCTCCTCTCTCTCCTCCACCTCCTCTCCTCTCCCTCCTCCCCTCTCCTCTCCCTCCTCCTCCACCCTCCTCTCCTTCCTCCCCCTCCTCTCCTCTCCTCCACCCTCCTCTCCTTCCCTCTCCCTTCCTCTCCTCTCCTCCACCCTCCTCTCCTCCCCTTCCTCTCCCCTCCTCTCCTCCACCCCTCTCCTCTCCTCTCCTCTCCTCTCCTCTCCTCCACCCTCCTCTCCTTCCTCCCCTCCCTTCCTCTCCTCTCCTCCTCCCCTCCTCTCCTCTCCTCCCTCCACCTCTCCTCTCCTCCCCCTCTCTCCTCTCCTCCACCTTCCTCTCCTCTCCTCTCCACCTCCTGTCCTCCACCCGCCTCTCTCTCCTCTCCTCCCCCCTCCTCATCCTCTCCTCTCCTCCCCCTTCCTCTCCTCTCCTCCACCCTCCTCTCCTCTCCTCCTCCACCCTCCTCTCCTCTCCTCCACCCTCCTCTCCTCTCCTCCACCCTCCTCTCCTGTCCTACAGCCTCCTCTCCTCTCCTCCACCCTCCTCTCCTGTCCTCCACCCTCCTCTCCTGTCCTCCACCCTCCTCTCCTGTCCTCCACCCTCCTCTCCTGTCCTCCAGCCTTACCACCCTTAGCCTCGTAAACCCGGCCCTAGGCAACAGTGACTAGGTTCTAGTTTCAACGACAGACTCTTTTGGTAACTTCGATAAGGGCAAAAAAAATAATGATAAGGGGAAAAAAATTGTTGATAAGGGAAATAAATAGTTGTCTGTCTTCAACAAATCACAAGGCAGACCTGCCAGAACATCGCGATTTGAAACCAAAGTTTGCAGGCAAAACCTTTGCAGTGCTTTTAGTGAAGGAAGTTGATGCAAACTAGCCACTTCCCGAAATGGAATCATTAAAAATAACCTCTGTGATCTCCATCTTGCCCAGGTACTATTTTATAATTTTTTCAAGCGGATAAAGTAGTGACATAGGCGGTGACGTAGTTCCTCTATGCCTAAAGAGTCCATCATTTAAAACAGACCCTAGTCACTGTTGCCTACACCATCCTCTCCTGTCCTGTCCTCCACTCTCCTCTCCTGTCCTCCACCCTCACCACCGTCCTCTATTATCCTCCTCTCCTCTCCTCTCCTCCGCCACCCTCCCTCCTACCTCTCCTCTCCTCCCACCCTCCTCTCCTCCACTCTCCTCTCCTCCCCGCCACCCTCCTCTCCTCCACCCTCCTCTCCTTCACCCTCCCTACCCTAACCCCCTCCTCTCCTTCACCCTCATCGCTCCCCTCCACCCTCTTCCTCTCCTTGTTCCACACCCCCTCTTTACCTAAATTTCCTCTGTTCCCGCACCCTCTTCTCACCTTCCCGTAACCTTCCTCCTTTATTTCAACCCTCATTCACTGCCCGATTCCATAGTTATATTTCCCGTTTTTTTAAAGCGGTCATTCCATTTCATTGCAGTGTTATTATTAGACCCATGCAATTGGACACTTTTGCCCGATTCACACAACGGTGCTGACTCGAACCTGCCCAGTCCAGCATTGGCTTGGTTTGGGTCAGTAGTGTGAAAAGGATATGATGCCTGTCTGCTCCAAGGCTAGCAATAGCATTAGCATGTAGGCTAGCTAGCTAGCAAGCACTGCCATTATTAGTTTTATGGGAGGATAGCATCATGCACTGCCTGGATGTGTGTCACAAATGGCACCCTATTCCCAATATAGTGCACTACTTTTGATCAGGACCCATAGGGCTCTGGTCAAAAGTAGTGCACTATATAGGGAATATGGTTCCAGTTGGGGGCGCACATCTGTGTAGCCTACACTGGCAGTCTAAAAACGTTCGATTTGCTTAACCGTCAGGCCACCTGATGTCAATTGGTTGCATGACGTCCTGATGGTATCGTACTTGTGAAGGGATTGGACCATGGCTGTTGGGATAAAACATGGTGTGTTATGATGATGTTATGACGGGGGGAATACTTTTTAAATATACAGTATGGGCCGTGTCCCAAATGGCACCCTATTTTCTATAGGGCTCTGGTCAAAAGTAGTGCACTATGTAGGGAATAGAATGCAATTTGGGACACACTTCATTTAATTGATTCAGATATACATGTAGTAACTGTGAGGGTTCACTTTACAGTAGCCTAATTATAATCAAAAAACAAGAATAAAACAGGACAAAATACTGGGCTGGGGGGAATGGCTACAGTGCATTCGGAAAGTATTCAGGCCCCTTGACTTTTTCCAGCCTTATTCTAAAATTGATTCATTTGTTTGTTTTTCTCATCAATCTACACACAATACCCCATAATGACACAGCAAAAACAGGTTTTTATCAAATTTTGCTAATTGATAAAAAAATTAAAATGGAAATAGCACATTTACTTAAGTATTCAGACCCTTTACTCAGTACTTTGTTGAAGCACCTTTGGCAGCAATTACAGCCTTGAGTCTTCTTGGGTATGACGCTACAAGTTTGGCACACCTGTATTTTGTGGAGTTTCTCCCATTCTTATCTGCAGATCCTCTCAAGCTCTGTCAGGTTGGATGGGGAGCATTGCTGCACAGCTATTTTCAGGTCTCTCCAGAGATGTTCGATCAGGTTCAAGTCCGGGCTCTGGCTGGGTCACTCAAGGACATTCAGAGACTTGTCCTAAGACCCTCCTGCATTGTCTTGGCTGTGTGCTTAGGGTTCGTTGTCCTGGTTGGAAGGTGAACCTTCGCCCCAGTCTGAAGTCCTGAGCGCTCTGGAGCAGTTTCACAGATCTCTGTTTTGCCCGTTCTTCCCTCGTCCTGACTGTCTCCCAGTCCACTGCGCTGAAAAACATCCCCACAGCATGATGCTGCCACCACCATGCTTCACCATAGGGATGGTGTCAGGTTTCCTCCAGACGTGACGCTTGGCATTCAGGCCAAAGAGTTCAATCTTGGTTTCATCAGACCAGAGAATCTTGTTTCTCATGGTCTAAGAGTCTGTTAGGCGACTTTTGGCAAACTCCAAGCGGGCTGTCATGTGCCATTTACTGAGGAGTGGCTTCCGTCTGGCCACTCTACCATAAAGGCCTGATTAGTGGAGTGCTGCAGAGATGGTTGTCCTTCTGGAAGGTTCTCCCATCTCCACAGAGGAACTCTGGAGCTCTGTCAGAGTGACCATCACCTCCCTGACCAAGGCCCTTCTCCCCCGATTGCTCAGTTTGGCCGGGCGGCCAGCTCTAGGAGAAGTCTTGGTGGTTCCAAACTTCTTCCATTTAGGAATGATGGAGGCCAATGTGTTTTTGGGGACCTTCAATGCTTCAGAAATTGTTTGGTACCCTTCCCCAGATCTCTGCCTCGACACAAACCTGTCTCGGAGCTCTACAGACAATTCCTTCGACCTCATGGCTTGGTTTTTGCTCTGACATGCACTGTCAACTGTGGGACCTTATATAGACTGGTGTGTGTCTTTCCAAATCATGGCCAATCAATTGAATTTACTACAGGTGGACTCCAATCAAGTTGTAGAAACATCTCAAGGATGATCAATGGAAACAGGATGCACCTGAGCTCAATTTCGAGTCTCAAAGCAAAGGGTCTGAATATTTATGTAAATAAGGTATTTCTGTTTTGTTTTTTGTATACATTTGCAAACATTTCTAAAAACCTGTTTTCACTTAGATTTTTTTTATTTAATCAATTTTAGAATAAGGCTGTAACGTAACAAAATGTGGAAAAAGTCAAGGGGTCTGAATATTTTCCGAATGCACTGTATCTGTCCCCTGAAGCGAATTTCTCATTGCTGCAAAATGGCTCCCTCCCTCCCTCTCCCACATAACCTTGGCTTCCTGCAACAAAAGAAGGAATGATTACGGGGTGGAAATGAATCTACCGCCACGTGTAAATCAGAACCAAGGACAGCTCCCTCGAGCTAGAGAATACAAAAGCAGCCAGTGGCCATGGTGTCAGCTGCACGTTCACGACCTCTCTAGCTGAGCATCATAACACACGGGCCTTGTGGCAAAGCCCTCACAGCAGTACGAGACTTAGAACATGCGCTGTGCTTCTTCTTCCTGACCAACCCGGGATTAAATGATGCTCTATTTTCGACGGGTGGGCGGGATTGTTGTTGTAGGTTAGGCTATTCATTCATTCATTCGGCTGAGTTTCGACATCAGGTGAATAAAAAAACACGGACAGCCGGTAATTCACTAAATCAATAGCCTAATCGTGTGAAATGTGGATGTGTTGATTATTGATATAACCTTAGAATATGATGAGAGACAACCAACAGAGAAGTCAGACTTCTACTGTGACAGTGTAGGCCTTTTGGTTTGTGGTGTAGTCTACTACCTACGACATAAACCTCCCTAATATGAAACCTTTGGTTTGAGAATCAGTCTCCCCCAACTGCTATTCTCGAAATAAAAACGTACCATTACAGGCTGTATGATAATAAAGCCAGTTATACATGTATATGCTACAAGAATGCAGCTGTCAAATCATGCACAGTTCAGTGCTATCCACATTTAGTAGCAGCCTACACGCTTCGATTGCGATATCTTACATTACTTACCGAAATCCCGCATGGAACATATACATCCGAGGCCCCCCTGAATTTGCATATTTGGGGGTCATGAAGAGAAAATCTTTCTTTATTGACACGTAGCTGATCAATGAGAGTATGAGCAGAGCGACACTGAACATCATCAAACCCAGGACGCTCGCTATGCGGACCATCTTGCCGTGTTGACATTCCCGTCTGTGCAACGACAAGGACAGCTATGTTGCGCGTTCAGTAGAGAAGGGACAAGTTTCGGAGAAGGAGGACACGGTCCGCTGGCTTGACATATTATATTACACAAGTAGGGAGGCAGAGAGAAATGCCAACTGGTTCTTGTATTTGACGGTATGTCTCTGGGCTCAGAGCGGTTCTCATTCTCCGGGTGCACGGGTCCTGCTCGTGCCATTCCGTTCCCTCGCGGCGAAGATAGATGCGATGCGAATAATGGCACGTGGAGATTCATGCATTTCGAATCTAATTAATTAACCGTACCGGATGCTTAAAGGAGCAGCTAACGTATCGCGGAAATCAAATAAATAAACAACCGCGTTAGGTCCAGTGTCGAGGCGGAGTCTTCCTTTAGGCTACCACAAAGTGTTACTTAGAGTACATGCTGCTTTGCAAACCAGCATGGATTAGGTCCTGTTCAACCTGCATTACATTTTAGCCTGCTTTCTAGAGATGTGCTCCGTGCTGTTGTGGTGTTTATCTCAGGAACATGGGTCAGGGAGCATGTGTATCTGTATATCTGTCTATCTGTCTATCTGTATATCTGTATATATGTAATCTGTATATCTGTATATCTGTGTATCTGTGTATCTGTATATATATGTATATGTATATCTGTGTATCTGTGTATCATGACAGTCGTGAAAAGGGCACGACAAAGCATATTCCCCCTCAGGAGACAGAAAGGATTTGGCATGGGTCCTCAGATCTTCAAAAAGTTATACAGCTGCACCATCGAGAGCATCCTGACTGGTTGCATCACCGCCTGGTATGGCAAACCGTAAGGTGCTACAGAGGGTAGTGCGTATGGCCCAGTACATCACTGGGGCCAAGCTTCCTGCCATCCAGGACCTCTATACCAGGCGATGTCAGAGGAAGGCCCTAAAAAGACTCCAGCCACCCTAGTCATAGACTGTTCTCTCTGCTACCGCACGGCAAGCGGTACCGGAGTGCCAAGTCTAGGTCCAAAAGACTTCTCAACAGCTTCTACCCCCAAGCCATAAGACTGCTGAACAGCTAATCAAATGGCTACCTGGACTTTTTTTATGCTGCTGCTACTAGCTGTTTATTGTCTACGCATAGTCCTTTTTACCCCTACCTACATGTACATATTACCTCAATTACCTCGACTAACCTGTACCCCCGCACATTGACTCGGTACCGGTACCCACTGTATATAACTTCATTATTGTTATTTTATAGTTAATTTTATTGATATATATTAATTGTATTTTTTCAATCTATTTTTATTATTTTTGTAATTTTTTGTTTGTTTTTCCAAAAAATATATTTTAATTTATAAATATATTTTACTTTAGTTTATTTAGTAAACATTTTCTTACCTCTTATTTTTCTTAAAACTGCATTGTTGGTTAAGTATTTAAGCATTTCACGGTAAGGTCTACACGTGTTGTATTCGGCGCATGTGACAAATACAACTTGATTTGATCTGTGTATCTCTCTCTCTTTCTTTCCTCTCCTCTCTTCTCTCTCCTCTCTTCTCTCTCCTCTCCTCTCTCTCTTCTCCTCTCTCTCTTCTCTTCTCTCTCTTCTCTCTCTCTCTTCTCTCCTCTCTCCTTCTTCACCTCGCCTCACCCCCTACCTTCTCTCCATCACCTCCTCCCTTCCTCTCACCTCGCCTCACCCCCCCCTCCTCTTCCTCTCACCTCACCTCCTCCTCTTCCTCTCACCTCACCCCCTCCTCTTCCTCTCACCTCTCCCCCCTCCTCTTCCTCTCACCTCACCCTCTCCTCCACCTCACCCCTCCCATCCCTCCCTCCTCTCACCGTCACCTCCTCTCCTCTCCCGCCCCTCCTCCTCTCATCACCTCTCACTTCCTCTCACTCACCCTCCCTCCTCTCTCCTCATCTCTCTCATCCTCTCCTCTCCTCTCCTCTCCTCTCCTCTCCTCTCCTCTCCTCTCCTCTCCTCTCCTCTCCTCTCCTCTCCTCTCCTCTCCTCTCCTCTCCTCTCCTCTCCTCTCCTCTCCCTCCTCTCCTCTCCCTCCTCTCCTCTCCTCACTCTCTCCTCAACTCTTATCTCCTTTCCTCTCCTCTCCTCCTACTCAACTCTTATCTCCTCTCTCCTCTCTCCTCTACTCTCAACTCTTATCTCCTCCCTCCTCTCTCCTCTCTCCTCTCTCCTCTATTCTCAACTCTTCTCTCCTCTCTCTTCTCTCTTCTCTCTCTCTCTTCTCTCTTCTCTCTTCTCCCTTCTCTCTACTCTGTCCTCTCTACTCTGTCCTCTCTACTCTCTGGTCCTTGTCCCTGTGAGTGAGGCTTGGACAGATGAGGTCCAGGCAGGGAGCACCAGAGATGGGAGTGATCACCAGGGTTGGCTGCATTAGGCATTAGGGCTATCTCTCTGTCTGTCCACGCTCGGCCGCTCCTGTCACATAGACTCTGTGCTCAATGGGCCAGAAGAAGAGGCTCCATGAATCGTCCATTAGCCCAGTTGGGTTAATAACCTGGCCAAACGGCTTCAAACTGCTTTCCAGCCAAATTGGCAACAACATGCATCACCATTTTATTTTTTTTTTTTCAGCACGCTGTAGTCAGTGGTTGCGTCCCAATGGGCTCTGATCAGAATTAGTGCACTATATATGGAATAGGTGTGCCTTTTGAAGACGCAAACAGTGTGTTTCGTTCTGCATGGTGTGATGGATTGACAGGGAGTGAGTCAGGGCCACTCGTGGAGTTGCAAATTAGTAGATTTGCATGTCATTCCAATGCCACATACAGATTTAAGATCTTTAATTTAAGCCAGTTTGCTACAGCAGGAAAATAATCCTGCAGCAACAGAAAAATATAATTATTATGTGGATTATAATTAATGGATATTTTTGTAGGGGTTGCTACATTTTTTTGTAAGGTAATAGTAAAGTCTGACATTTCGAAGTGGAAATTACAAACTTCAGAAGCCTTTTTAAAGCTCAAATACACTACACGTTGTACATTTCCTGCATTGCAGGAATGTTATCCCGCAACATGGTGATCAAATGATCCTACATCTTGACTGAAACTGTATTATCTAATAAATATATTTTTTGAATGGTTCTATGGCTTCCACATTCCATGAACATGAGTTAATATTCCATCTACGCTGACCTGAGACAAGACAACACAAGCTCAAACACAAAATAATGTACGTTTGAATGGTGCAGCTAGCATTGATCATCATATTTTGTTCATAATTCACAGTTCCACTTCATGTGAAAAGATAACCTTGTGGGGGGGGGGGGGGGGGGGGGGGGGGGGGGGGGCAGCTGGAGAGGAACAGTGCTACTGAGGAGGTGGAGGAGGAGGAGGAGGAGGTGGTGGAAGAGAAGGAGATGGTGGGTGGGGAGGAGGAGTGCTTCATAATTGTTCATTTGGCGGTTGTGCCTTTGTCTCAATCAAAGAAGCTTCCCCTTCCAACCCTCCCTCTTTTCCCTCTCTCTCTCCTCTCTCTCTCTCCTCCTCTCTCCCTCTCTCTCTCTCTCTCTCTCTCCTCCCTTCCTCCTTCCCCCGGGGGGTCTCTCTCCGGCCTCCTCCTCTCTCTCTCCTCTCTCTCTTTTCCCCTCGGCTCTCCTCTCCTCTCTCTCCTCTCTATTTCCTCCCTTTCCCTTGGGGGGCCCCTTCCCCTTTCAGGCCCTCTCCTTTCTCTTCTTTTCCTTCCGCTCTCCCCATCAATTCTCCTTCTCTCTTCTCTCGCCCTCTCCCCTCTTCTTTCCCCTTTTTTCCTTTCTTCCTTTTTTTTTTTCCCCCCTTTTTTTCCCTTTTCATTTCCCCTGATGATGGCTGAGGTAGTTGGGGGGCAGAGGGGAGGGGTGGCCATGTGGCTACAGTTGTGGCTAGGATGGTTTCATTGCTCATCTCCCAAAATTTTGATTTTCTTGTTTCCTTACACCTTCTCCTAAATTCCTTCTAAAAACCTATAGAGGAGACTTTAATCATTTTTACTCCAGGGGGGGCTGTGGCACCCTTTCCCATTCTGAGAGTAAATGGCGTTTCATCATGCTTTGTTATTTCATAATAGAGCCGGACGACAATGACAAAACAGGGGTGTGGCATCAGTCATGGTTTAGAGGTGGACAGCTGAAATGGACTGAGCTATGAGCCAGAGAGAGGCCACTGGACAGGGCGTTGAGCTGTCTGATCTGGGGCTAAATGCAGGCTATCTGTGACGGGACAGGGATAAAATGAGGACAGGTCTAAGATGAGGATAGGGCTAAAATGAATGGACACATTAAGGGTGTGGAGATGGTTCTGATAGGCTGCTATACCCTACCCCAGCCTCCTCCCCCCTCTACTCCTCACCCCCCCCTCTACCCTCTAGTCCATACCCTACCCCAGCCTCCTCCCCCTCTACTCCATACACTCCCTCCCCCTCTACCCTCTACTCCATCACCTCCCCCCTCTACCCTCTTCTCCATCACCTCCCTCCCCCTCTACCCTCTACTTCCATCACCTCCTCCCCCCCTACCCTCTACTCTCCATCACCTCCCTCCACCCTCTAACCCTCTACTCCATCACCCCCCCCCCACCCTTTCCCCCATCCATCACCTCCCCCCCCTCTTAACCCTCTACTCCATCACCCCCCCTACCCTCTACTCCATCACCTCCCTCCCCCACCTCTACCCTCTACTCCATCATCACCTCCCCCCCCCTCTACCCTTTCCTCCATCACCACTCCCTCCCCCCTCTACCCTCTACTTTCCATCACACCTCCCTCCCCCTCTAACCCTCTACTCAATCACCTCCCTCCCCCTCACCCTCTACTCCATCACCTCCCTCCCCCCTCTACCTCTACTCTATCCCCTCCCTCCCCCTCTACCCTCTACCTCACTCCACCTCCCTCCCCCCTCTACCCTCTACCCCTACTCCACACCCTCCCTCCCCCTCTCATACAACCCCTCTCCTCCCACCTCCCATCACTCGACCCTCTCCTCCCGTCTACCTACCCTCCCCCCACCCTCCCCATCCACCCCTCCCGCCCCCCCTCTCCCTCTCTCCCTCCCTCCCTCCCCCCCCCCCTCCCTCCCCTTCGCTACCTTACTCCCTACTCACCTCCCCTCCTCCTCCCCTCTACTCCCTCTCCTCCCTCCCCCCCTCTCCCCTCTCTCCCTCATCCTCCCCCCCCTCCCCCCTCTACCTCTCTACTCTCCACACTCTCCTCTCCTCCCCCCCTCCCCCAACC